TTTGCAGAGCAAGATCCGAAAATTACCTCAAAAGACATTTTATTGTTGCTTTCAACCAAGTGAGACATTTCTATGAGACAAGCTTTTCAGTAATAATGCTAGTTAGATGACCGCAAGAGAATAGCTGATTTTGGAGAAAACAAATGGTGCTAGTAGCATCAACCAGTTCTACTAGTTCTGTCTAGAACTATCCTCTTACTAATGGCAATCCTCAACTTATTTATCTCCTCAACATATTTTTGTGCCTTAAAGCAAGAAAAGTTAAAACGTGCCAATCAAAAGATAAAGAACCACTGCTGTCGTCAGTCAATGCAGGTGTTTATAAGCCTAGCTTTCTAAGGTTATGCAACTTTGCTGTCCTTTAATATCAAACTGGGTCTGTTCAGCCATTCCTAGTAACTTTTGATTCCAATGACCACTACCGAATTTTATAGAGAAATGAAGTCCAGAAGTTAGCAAACTCCTATCCATCTATCTATCTATATATGTATAGCATACATATATTTTTTTTTAACTAGCAGAGCAGGAGAGGAGAGAGACACTGCTATCACTCCCACTGAGGCAGAGGCAAGAACCTTGACATTGTCCAGGTTCTTTGTTGTTTGGTTAGTTGGCTACTGCCAGTCAGCACAAGTGCTCCGGCCTGACAGCTAGCACACGTGTAATAAGCAGCTGCAGGTGCATTGCTGGGGCTAAGAGTAAGTATTGAGATTTCAATATTAGAACACTCAAGGGAACTAGAGATCTATTGGGGGAGATGGAGAAGCCTTCCTTACAAGGTGGGAAAATCTGAGGAATTACAACAGTGGCATCAGAGAACAGGAAGGGAGCTAGGTTTACAATGGAAGTGTAGGGACACAGGACACAAATTGGTTAGCTTCATGATTTGTCTTGATTTTACAAAATTTTACTGTAATGCACTGCAATGTAATGTAGTAGAGATTACTTTGCCGTTTCATTTTTAAATTTAAAGTATGAATCCAAGATAAGATTCAAGTACATCAAATTGGCTGAGCAACAGTAAGTGACATAGGAAAACTCCACCTCGCATTTCAAATCCATCCTTCCCCTTCTTTTCCTAAGAAAGAATAACCACAGTAATGTGATAAACACGGTTAGTGGGTGAAATACAGTTTAGTGCTAAACATGGTTAGTTGTGCTCAGATTCACTGGGTTAAAAATCTGTGTTGGTTGAAAGAAGAAAGTGAACCTTCTGATGCTTCTGATCCTTTTTGTTAATTCCTGCTTGTACCTGTCAAGAGTCAATGTATGGAAATTATAATTCCAGAGCAACCACCTACAGCTAGTGGCCAAATCATGATTTTTTTAATATGACAGAAAACACACTGCAGAGATTAAGATTATTAAATTACACTCTCAAGCAACAACAGGTCTGCAATAAGGGAGCATTATACAAAGCACACACTGTTTACAACAGCTACCATAAAACAAAATCGAATCTCACTTCATATTTAAGGTCCTTCTTTAAGCTACAAAATGTCTGTACAATCTTAAACGCTGTTCAGTTGTTTACAAATTTATCTAATCAAATTATTTTCTTAGAATAAAAGTAAGCAGGGTATCCAAATGCACAGGTAATTTTTTAACCAGTGCTCAAGATACTAACTCAGACATACAAGTAGCATCTGTTACAAATTGATTTTTCAGTATTTTTGTAGTGTCTTCCTATAAATCACCCAAACGTCGTAAGAATGACATTTCCTTTGTTTAATGCACATGACAACTACTTTGTAATAGCTTTTCTTCTCCCTCTAAAGGAGAGCACTTTATGCAGCTCTTAACTGTTGTAATATTCACTCAAATCTATTTAGATCTACAACATTAATTCAAAAAGACAAATTATAGGAGATAAAATTAAATAGGAGTATAAAACAAAAGGAAGCCTTTCATCATTGCAGGCACTGAAGCCTGCTTATATGTTTCTCTCTTAGTGTGAGGACAAAAAGGTAAGATTACGGTTTACTTATAATGAACCATTAGTAATTTTATTGTAGCACTGGATACATCCTGCCTTGGTGCTCATGTACAAGGACTAATAGAAAAATTAGATCACCACTAGAAATGCATTTTACCAGAGAATCAAATGCAGCCTGACTAATTTCTTCTGGCTTGACATCTATAGCTTTAACATACATATATGTTACATACCTACATATACATCTCTCATACAAATTTGCTTGATTAAGTTGAACACCTGAAAATTAACATTTACAATCTACTTCAACTACAGAATTCAAAATTACCCCAGCAATTCATTAGCAGTGTGGCAAAGAAAAAGGACTGTACAAAATACATTTAAAATAGATATCAAACATAGGCAATGAAATTATGGGACCTGAATATTCATCATCATTTGATTTGCATTAAGAACACTTCACACAAAGGTTACGTATTTTCTGCATAACTGTTCTGATGCAAGGCATGCAAAAAGGGGCACCTTTATACCAGTGTAGATTTGGAGAGGTTATACCATTACACTTCAATTTAAAAAAAAAAAATCCTAAACCATAATAGTTATTCTATTTTAAAATATACATACATGCTAGAATCCCAGTTTCGGGGATTCTAGGTGGAAAAAAAAAACCTTTTAACCAATTACTAATCGAATCAGATAGTCTCACTAACTGTAAACTCCTAACCATTCTAAATGAAGCAGTTTGGAATACACTGTAAAAACCAAATACATGCATTTGCCTTCTGACTACAAAACCCAATGCAAAAAGTAACAAATGAAGCCTTTCTTTTGAACATAATTGATTACTTTAGTGAAAAAGGAAGGGGGAAAAGGATGCAAATTACTTTCTCCTCTTTAAAAAAGATTTAACATAGCAGAAGAGATGAAATTCTTAGATGCAATGATAAGCAATGGAATAAAAATAATAATTTCTATCTATTATTTAAAATGTTTTAATAGGATTTGTCATCACGTCTACTTTACTACAAAACCCTTAAATCTTTTACATTAATTTCAATATGGGTTCAGTTCAAATTCCACTGAAGCCAACAGGAGCCCTTCCACTAACTTCCATGGGGTATGGATTGTCATTCTTCATTGAATGCATTCCGCACCAAGAAAACTACGAAGCAGAACAAAGCGTGCTCAGAACAGACAACTTTTCCAAAAGAAAGAAAAAGAAGATATGTTTGAACAGTTCATGAAAATTAGCATTCTCAAGAAACTAATACTCATTTCAGTGTCAAAAAGACTATAGACTTAAAAGAATTTTTGGAATGAGATTTCGTACTGTTCATATTTACACAACTTCATAATTTCTTCTTTACTGAAAAACTATATGCCGTATTTTGAATGCTTTAAATATTTGTTTAAAATATACATGTTCAAATAATAAAGACAGAAGATGAAACTGCCCTTTAGAGGGGAAAACAATAGAAGCAAGGAAATGCATAGGAAATGCACAGTCAAGCAATTTCACTTCACCCTAATAGCAAAAGAGTAATATTAAAAGCTACCAGAGCACTCGCTTCCAAGACATTTGCAAGTCCTGAGGTCCCTACTGTAATTACTATTTTACTATATTTTTATGATAAAACCTAAAAAAAATTCTGCATTGCAGAGAGATTCACACAAACAAAACCAAGGCAAATCTGAGCTTGCCTAAAACAATGTTTTAATAAATATGGAAAAATGTAAACACTTTTTGTCTGAAAAGAAATCTTTTTTCCTCCTCCCATCACTTTTCCAACTACAGTAATAGTAAAAACAATTTTAAAAAGCACACAACAGTAGCGTGACTGATTCTGGTTTGGAGGACTTTACAAGCATACTTCCAGAATCTGTATTGACATCAATTATATGATTGTGGTCATATTGTCAGACCTAATGTTTCAATTCAATTGCATTAAAAAAAAAAAAAAAACTGTCAAGCACATCCCAGTTGCTTTAAGTTTAAAGACAACAGTTATGCATACCGAAAGCAGACTCGAGAGATCCACTTTATTTAGTTGATCTTTGGAGCTTAATCTGGTTGCGCCATTTCAAAGTGCTAAAGAATCACTCATTTGTCAACAATACCTAGCATTTCTTAAAATACGCAAAAAAAATCACTTTCAAACATAAATCATCTCATGGTATGCTCATTAACAGTAAAGATGGAAATAAGGCAAATTTAACTCTTACATCTAAACATACATGGGAAGGCAGTTCTCTAATTTATAGAATGGTTTTCCTAATACAAACAGTAAAAATATTTTTCCTTAACACCTTCATTGGTTTTAATTGTCATCATACACAAATACAACAGCATATAAAGATAATCTTGCTTCCAGCAAGGAATCTAATTATGACACAGCTTCTGTAACAGGGCAGGTTAGAAAGCATGTATCAGATCCTCCAACGGAAACATACAAAATGCCATAAAGTGACTTCTTAGCAAAGAGGGATGCATCATGGAACAAGGGTTACTCTAAAGTAATGCAAGGCTGAGGCAGGAAAAATAAAGTCAGGTTTTTTTGTCCTTCTTGTGTACACCCAATACGGGGACAGTTTAGGAATGAATTTAAAAAAAAAAGTTATTCTGCAGCTATTGCATTCTGAAATGATTAGAGCATAAAAACCTCATAAGGAAGGACATGGTCAGCCTCAGACTATTTTGTTGTGAATGTTACACCAGCCAAACCATTCCACCAGTTTACAGTGTACCGTAAAATATTTACACAAGCTATGAACTATAAAATATTTTCACATGAACTATAAAATATTTACACTATCAACATCAGTTAGGAAAGAATGATGTGCTGTCAAGCCAGGGTGACCCAGGAGTAAAAATTTTGTGGTTGCAGATTAAATAAAACCATTGCAAATCATCTGGAAACTTACAGAGAATATTAGGTTAAACAAATTACTGCTTCCTGGTCTCTTGGATGGCAAATGTAACCAGGAAAGCATAGCTTATATGCTTTAAACTAAGTTTTACCAACAACATAAAGAAAGTTTAGGTTTACAATCAAACTGCACCGACCTCTCTGAATGTTCCTTCTAGCAAGGTGTCCAGATGTTGAAGAGGAGCGGGAGTTTTGTCTTTGAATCGTGTCAGCAGTCGCCGCTCAATAGCTCTAAATTGTACAGCCCTTTCAGATAACAGCTCCTGAAATTTTTCAGCATTCAAACGTAGCTGCAATTTTAAGGGTTTTTGAGAATTCAGATTAAGGGTCATATACAATGATGTATGTACATTCCTAACAAAATAGAACAACAACAAAATTATTGGGAGAGAATGCATTCATTCAAATGTAACTATGGTGCCCATGCCAGCTTCATACTGATGTGGTTAACTTCAGACTCTTCATGAAACAACAGTGGAAACCTTATCAGTTGCCACTGAAATCACAAATAATTGTTGACAGTCAAGATCTGTAATAATGCACAAGAATGCCATCAAGAAGTCTAATGACAAGAGTGAAATTTCACCACTCTCAGGGTGGATCTCTCAGGGCTTCTCCTTAGCTTAGTGTGTTATTTACGACACATACACACAACTTAGATGTGATAATCATTGCAGTAGAAAACAAATGATTATTCCTTTGAACATAAATAAAGAACTAACTTCTGCACTGATTGGATGATCATCTTTTTCTGACATGAAATCCTTTTTCCTTTGATATCTATTCATCAGGTATGGCAACCAACTCTTAAAATGTTCACAAAACTTTGACAAGACTGTATATCAAACGCCTAGACAATAAGAGTTCCTACTTTATCTTTACAATCACCTTTTCATTTTCTAGTGCATACCTCTTTTACATAAAAATCTCTTAATAAGAGTGAGTTTCCTTCAGAAGAGGCTTTTCATTGTCATCTGCATGACCAAACAGGCAGGCAAAGAGAATTCATATATTTCATACCTCGTCTGGTATACGTGTTCCTGTCTGCAATGATGCTTTTAGAAGGGCAGCCAGTATTTTAAAATCTAAAGGTACTTTTTATAAAACTGCCAAGACAAACGCTCAAGACTTCATTATCACAGACTAGTAAAACAGCCTATGACGAAGGAGAAATTTTAGAAACAATTTTACAATTAAATTATGTTAGTGAATGAAGAACCTATGGCTTCTCTATAAACAGGCAGTGAACTAAACTAGCACCCCAATTTGTATCATTTGCAGACTGCACGTGAATACATGTGCTTGCCAATCACAAGGGTGTTTCAAAGGCAAGACACATTCCACATGCTAAAAACTAAACAGAGAACTGGATCTTTTCCAGCATTATCTTAGATACAGCTTCCTATTTTCTGAAAGACAGTTAGCTGTGCGTCACTGATTAACTATGCAGTTTTAACCTGATTAATCTTAGCATTGACTTAAAAACAACTTTGTGCTAGGGAAACTATTAGTTAGCTATTCATATATTAAGTAACATACCTCAAAATGTCGATCAATTAGTTCAAAATATTCTTGCAGGGGAATTGAACCAGAAAAGGTACACACAAAGTCTTTGCAATTTTGCTTCTTGAAATGTTCTTCAAGTCTAAGTGTGAGCTCTTTTGTTATTAGCCAAAGGTCTTCTAACTGATCACTCTGGATTCTGTATCGTTCTTTAAAAACAAGATTAAATACAAGACTAATAACGCACAAATTTAAGCCATACACATTAACTAATATAATATGCTTTAGTTAATATAGAGAGATGTAATACAGTTGTTAAATACATTCAAAGTCTGTGCGAGAGGTTTTAATAAGGGATATTTGTTCAATAGTGTTAAAGAAACATTTATATTTTATTCAGAAAAGATAGTCCTAAATACCTGTTAAGGTTAGGATAAAAGAGAGGGTAATTCTTGTAGCAGACAAATAAACTTTTAGGACCTCAACCAGTCTTGTTTCCACAAAAAGCTTTAACTCTTCAGCTCTGATGAAACAGATCCATTTCCAGAACAATTATCTTTAAGTCTAATTTTCTAACTCTTTATGACAAATATTAAGAAATATTAGCATGCATATTTTCTTCCTTTTCTCGAATGTATGGAAGTATTGCTTCAGGATTATTTACTGCAGAGTATGGGCCTGCTCATGAAGCACAAAAACTATGAAGACTACTAATAAAGAAATAAGAGATTCCTCCAAGGAATCTCTTCCTATAAGGAGAATTACTGGATGATATTAAGTCATAACAACAGACTGTCAGCAATTCTCTACCACAATACACCCTTAATGAGCTTTGGTTGCCAGGCTAGGGCCAAGACGCAGGTTCAGTTCACTTTGGACCAACAGAGAAGCACAGCATCCTAAGCAGCTGACAGTAGTGGCAACCAATCAACTCCAATCCAGATAAAGCCTCTTAATTAGAAACATAGCTACCAAGAGTTCTGACACAAGAAGTTTGTTAATGAATTTGCATTACATTTCTACTTCCTGCAATAGCTTCTAGCAGGAAACTGGTACTCATTCAGTAGTCACAGGCAACATTATTCAGTTTTATTAGTGCAATGCTTCACTTTAGAGACAGCTGATATTAGTAGAAGGTGATTTCTGTCTATTCAGTATACAGAATGGCTTTGCAAAAGTGGTCCAGGATGCTGTAGAAATGAAGACATCAACACAACTATAAACTGAAGTGGAAAAAAACCCTCTAGCCAATGTTATCTGTCCCGTCAAATTCACTCAACTTATCACATTTTAAGGAGCTTCAAATTATCAAACTAATGGGAAGATACTTTATTTCTCTTCTGTTTCTACACCACATTTACATCTCTTCAGTTTCCAGGAAGTGCGAATTAATTAAATATTGACAGGGAAACATTGCTGAAAACCATAATAGCATATTAAAATATTTTTTTTGTCAGACAGACATTTTCAAACATTGTTGCCTTATTTCCTTTCATTATTCGTCTATCTATACCTTATCCAAAAAGAAAGACAAAAATGAAGCTATGATAAAAAACAGCTGTTGGGATTTTTGATACAAAATGGTTTACGGTTTTTTAGCCCTTGTTAACAAGGTTCACAGTAAAATCAAATGAATGAAAATTCTTTACAACTTTAACGTACTTATTTAAAGTTTTCTCAACATTAGTAATCCAAGATTGTTTGACATTACCACTGGCATCATTCCCAGGATACACATTTCACTGAAGAGAGAATGACAAATTCTGTTTACAGTGCAACAGGAAAGAAGCAAGTTTTGTTTAAAAACTCTGTCTGTTAAAGAAAAGAACTCCATCTGCTAAAGATAACATTCAACCTAATATCCATTTTTTAAATACTCACAATATAATGGCTGGACTTACTTAGATATATCATCACATTTTACCTTAAATGATTTTTTTCTTTATGTGAAATTACCTCAGATGTTTTCAGACCAAATCAACAGTCATTCCATCTAAAATTGATGTAACTAATACATTAATGGTTTAAAATGGATAAAACTAATTTCCTCCAAAATGCATATTCAGTTTCCATACATTGTTTGTTGGTCAATACAAACACAATCTAATTTGTGCCCGAGTAGAGCACTGCAGTCGTTTGCTTTATGTGATCTTCCAGCTCTTAAGAAAAAGACAAATTAGATTTGGAAACTGTAGGAAACTGAGAATCTCTAGTTTTACTAAACATGTGCTTTTATATGGAAATACAATAGAAGCAGTAAGAAATAAGTGGGCCTCTGCTTTTCCAGTGTTTTTATAATAGTAAACCAATTTATGTTAGCCTTTTGTTAAAAAGCTTTCCTACAGAAAATTACAATACACACTCTTTTCAGAAAATTCTCACACAGAAAAGCACTCGGAGGAGTGCTAATAGGCTTCAAAGGCTTTCAACACTACAGCAGGTAGTGTAAGTAACACAGCTTGCAATAAGAATGATTATTTGCCCTGCCAGTAGCTTATCGGAAGGAAGTCTAGAAGATTCAGTTCAGTCCTTAGCAAGGAAGTCCTTTATCAGAGAAAGAGAAAACAATCACAAATAGCAGGCAAGCCTTCTTTACACTTGAATTAAAGTGCAGAGCTTTTAAAAATTTCAGCTAACAACTTAAATCCTTAGTATACATGTGCAAGCTTCATTTTAATATATTTAACTGTCAAAATGAACTTTAGGCGACGCTAATTCTCAGCAGACATCTTGACAGGTTGAAATATCATCCTCAATCACTACGCCGCTTAAAATGAATTAGCTAATACATTTAAAAATAAATTTAAAATAGCTGTAATGAAAAAAATTCAGCAGTGAAACCCAACTGAATCTTGCTACATACAGTCCTTCCCATTCAGGGCTTAAGGTCTGTTCTCTGGTATTGGTCATGTTATGGATAGCTTCCTTTCACAAAAATGCTCTGCTTGCGTGCCACGCTTAACTTTTTAATTTTGTATAATTCGAAGAGTTTTATTTAAATAACATTTCAAACAAGTAAAGCCCTCTGAGAAATTCTGTACCTAATGCAATGCTTGAGGTGGATGCTGGGAAGAAGCCACTACATGGAAGGTGGCATCAAACATCTCATCTGTTTTCTAAAGGAAGGATTCCCAGACAAGAGAAATGAGTAATCACACTAAGAGAAAAATAGACATTTTACATCTCCTTTTTAAAGCAAACTTCACAACTAAAGCAGTGTGGGAAAGTTTACAGTAAGGCTGCATGCGTCATTCCTAGCTAGTGAATAAACAAACCTGAAAGGAAAAGCTCCAGTGTTTTGGTGGGGAAAGTGGAAGTTATGTCCCCTCTAAAATACATTAAAATATATTCATTACATTGATACAAATGTGTCCCTTATGTAAGAATCAGATTTAGCAACTATGAAAATCAAAGTCCAAATAAATGATTTAAATCATCAAAAAGAAATAGCTATTTATAAAATCTCTAAATTCTTTAGTTTCTAGAAAACATCACTGCATGTCTAGCTATTTTAAACTGTTTTAAGTCTACTATTTAAATAATATTAAAAACCGACTACAATAAAACAACATACAAATAGTACATACACAAATTAATAAAAATGGATTTGAAGCTTAGAAGTGTAAAATGATTCCTGGTATAATGAAAGTTCTGTAATAATTACTCTCCAGATGGTTTATATTTTTAACATATTTGATTTCATTGAAAAGGTATTAAATATTATCTCACAGTTTACAACTGACACCACTAATATTTATATAGCCCATCATGAATTCTGAATTTTGAAAACACAGTGAGGTAGATTATTTTTATTTGTATTGAAAGAACTTCACATCAGCAAACTAGATCTTATCTCACTTACTCAAAATAGTTTTCACAGAGCATTCATATAGTGTTCCATTTGAAATCTGAGTAGCAGGTATTTTAGCTTTACTATTTGTTAGTCTGCTATATTAAATGAAGACATTGTGGCATGGAAAATGCTAAAACAGTTGAACTGATATGATTCCAACGCACGTGCCAAGAAAGAGATTAGCAAGTTGAGTAGTTGCATAAGGCAATTCCTTAACTCTTCAAAACTAAGAGAACCAATTGTTTAAAGAGTATAAACACAAAGGTGGTTGGAACATGACCACTTAATTCACAGACTGCTCGAAGAGACACTGAACCCGGTAACAGCATAGCTACAGGTATGTTTGAACATTTCATGAATTTGATAGGAAGGATATTAAAACCACAATTCTGGGCTTTCAATGATATTTAGGCATCTAAAGATACAGATAAGCGTTCACTTAGACACAGAAAAACACCTAGGTAGGGTCAGATGCCCAAGTCAAAAATTACTGAAAATCTGCGAGGAGTTAGAAACATACATTTTAGTCCTTTTTGCAAATTCCAACAGATGACTCCTTCCAACCATAGCGGTTTAAATACCTTTAAGGAAATGATGTTTTCTCCATAATTATGGCAACAATATTAAATCCTGAATAAAGACAGTATTAAAAGTAAAAACTTGAAGAAAATCCAATTTATCCAGAGATTTGTCACTGTAGCATAGCGTACTCTAAGTATAATTTTTGTTTAGTTTTAAAAGTTTGTGACTTCCTAGCAACATTACTAGATAGTTAACAGGGATTGTTAAAAAACGGGTTGTTAACACTTTGAAAATCTCGTGTAAATTCCCACGTAGAGATTCCATATATGATGCACGTTCTCATTTTGTGGCCTATCAACTTTTACATTTTACATTTAAATTAATACTGATGCCACTTACGTGATGTCTTTGAAGCAAGAAGAGTGATCTTTGAACCAGTTAAAAACTGAAACCCGAGAGCATTAGACTGGTCATCTTCAGATTGATCAGCAAAGTCTAAAAGAAAATTAAAAATAGTTTGCTATAATTCAACACTATTTCACACTAAACTTCTATCCACAGCAAGGATTATATCAAGCTTTGCATAAGCAACCTAACCTAGGAAGGGCAATCTGAACAAGAAGGTAAGAATACCACAAGTAGTTTGGTATACACTCCTTTCTATGGAACTGCTGCTGTTCATCTACAGGGAGGAAGCTGAGTCATGTTCTCTTCTCATATCAAATTGAACAGGTATGGCAAAGATAGCTTTTTCCAAGGTTCATCTGTGTCATCTAATAAAAGTAGTGAATATTGCATAGGCCAAAGAGACTATCACCTATGATGGATGCAACGCTGTAGACCTCCCTTAACTCAGATGTCTATGTAAAATATGATTACAATGTTTAAGTGGCCCCTGCATTTTAAAAGTTCTGTTTTATCTTCCAGCATAGAGGGCAAAAAAAGTATCTAGCTTTCTAAAAAAAGCTACACTGCAAAACTCTTGCCTGCCTGTTTTCCTTTAAATTCTATGTATTGGACCACAATTGGTTAAAAAAGATCAAACTTTAAAAAGCATCACATTTTAAAAACTGCTGCAAATTACATTGCCTCACAACATTCCCCTAAAATAAGTCAAACAAGGAGTAGATGGGATACAATTCCCATTAAAGAGCACACCAAAAATCCAAAGTTTCCTCACAGATCACATCATGAGCAGCATACCTTCTATTTCTTTTCCATCACTGAAAACAGTATGAATAAAAGTCAAAATATATTAATATCTTCTTCTGGAACACATGAGGTCTATGCTTTGTGTTATATTTTCAGCACTGAATCCCTGAGTTTAAAATGAAATGTTCTATTTTGAGAGTATCTCCAAACAGAATTTCATAATTCAACACATTTATTATCGCTCAGCCATAACAGAAACCTATGACAAAAACCCAGAAATGCAGGCCTTTAAAAGAAAAGTCTTTCAATTATTATTTATGCTTGAGGTAAGTGTTACACAGCGCACACATATTTGAAAGAAAAAGGTGTATTTACTGTCAAAGAGATAAAAGCCAGGCTACAAAAAAATCATGCCCAGTTTTCTGATATCTCAGACAAATGCATTACATAATCTTTTCAGAAATGGTTGCAGCTCCACTTTAAAACTATTATATCAAATTTCTTGGCCCAAACAGCTCTCAGAAAACTTTTCCAGAACCTTAGTCCTCTAAAGTTGAGAAACTTAATGATTTCCAGCCTAAATTTATTCAGAATCATTTTATAAGCCTTGTTTATTCATTTATTCCTGTGCTAATATGATCATCTAGATCAAAGATATACCCCTACAGTAGTTACTGAAGGCAACTGTATTCCATTTTTTTGCCTGTGTTTTGTTAAACTAAATTACACGTTTGTGTAAACAAATTAGCAGTTTTATCAGAGGCAGATAACTTATTAGCCAAGATGGGTAACTTACCTTGAAAAGTTATTCCACCATTTCATTCAAAACATACTTTTAAAACATTCTGATATTAGCCTTGTTAATTATTTAATTACTCCTTATTGGCAAAAGATTCCACTCTGAGTTACTAACACATCTCCTTTTACAGATATATTTAAAATCCTACCTGGAAAAATGGTGAGAAAACTGATAGGAGGTTTATTGGTATCAATAGTTAGTTTGTGGTTTGCTGTTTTTGAAGGTTGAGCTGGAGAGCAAATTAACCGCAAAGGTAGCCTGAATTTACACTGTGCAACTTTTAGAATTCCTAAAACGAAAGAACATATAGATTCAGCTTTCCTATGCATATATTGAATGCAAGACACTGCATACTACTGTCCTCAAAGAGCTATAACCATGAATTATTTTAATGCAGCTAAGAAACACACTTGAAAAAAAAAACACTACATAAAATTCTTAATCATGGTTAACTTTCCATCTAAAACACCTTTAAACTTGAACACTTTTAATTACTTTTTCAAGTAAAAATTTTAAACTGAATGTGAAAGCCAACATCACTACCCAAACGCATTGGATGCCTGTATTCACACCAATTAACATGCCATAAAGATTAGTAACAGCTTGCTTAAACCTTTAGACAAACAAATTCTACCTTCATGACAGACAGCTGCATCATTACTCCTGTTGGTTTGAACACAAAAACGAAAAAATTGTTTACATCATGATCATCACAAACTACAAGCTTAAGAACACACATTCCTTGGTTTGGGGGTTTTTCTGCAGGGGGGCGCGGAGTGTTTGTGTCTGCACTCCTAAGTGAAATCTTTGTAACCTTCCTCTCAGCTAGCACAAGTTTGGAGCTTAATAAAAACGTGTCTCATAGATACTTACTTACACACTGACGAAATCTGCAGAAGTTCTTCACAAGCAAGTATCAAAAGCTATTTTTGCATACTACCTTCTTTCTTACGTATCATAACAAAACACAGGAGTACATTTCTACCCAACTATGAGCCAGAAGCATGCCACAAGGCTGTCGCAAGTTAACAGGCCTGAGTTGGAAACTATACCACAGGCATTATAAATTATCCTTGCACACTCTGCAGAGGCGCTCTTTTTAATTTTAAATAACATCTCTTTTCTTTGGTAACAACTTCATATTTTCACCAGGATAGCTGCTCACGACCAATTTGATAATGATGTTCTTAAAGCTGCCATCCCTCAACCATTGCCAAATAGTAGTAGCCACTCTTGTATCAGTGAACCTCAAGAGCACATTAAGGGCACAACCCAAGTTAGAAGCCTTCATGCTGGCAATACGGAAGCTGAAAAGAGCTGAAAGTTACCTTTTATTTTCAGGCAAGACTGAAAAGAATACAAAACAAGTTCTGAATTTAATGAATGATGCTGTTAAATAACTTGGTAAGTTCTTGTTTCTTCACCTAAATACTGAATTACCGAAAGGTGAATTAAAAGTTTCTCTCTCAACTGATTACATGGTAAAGAGAATGACTGTAGAAGAACAACCTGGTTACTGTCTTTGGTATTGGGATCTCATCTCAGAAGCAGTTTTATCAGAATAGTGCTAGCCACGAGAGAAAAGAGGGAGTTTTAACACTAATATTTAGAAAATACGTTCAATACAGTTAGTCAAGAATTGGCACAAATACAAGCAAATGCTTATCTACAATTCTTGTCAGGTCAGAAATTGCAAGGTATGTTCCGTATGAAAGATGGAAATCCTAGGTGCTATGAAATGTGGAGTGCTTGCTCTCTGAGACAACCAGTTTTTATGGGGGTTATGGGAAGGGTTTATGGGAAGTAGGATTTTTTGATGTGGCAGGAAAACACACTAGTTTGTTCATGTACAGACAAATATTGATAGAACTGAAAATGGTATTAATGTCATAGCAACATCACTCAATCTCTTCCAAGCAACCCAGGGAATTCAAACATCAATGCCAACATCCACTTCAGGCGAGCAGAAGTTACGGTACGTTTTTAGAGATAATAAAGTTACTGTTCATGGATCATACGGCGACAGAAAAGTCATGAGCTGTAAAACTGACAGCTATACAGAGGTCATCAGGGATGTAAGTTTAGAAAGCTAGAATAAAAATACCCCTTTCTCCTTACATTTTCTTTTGTTTGTTCTTTCACAGAGCTCTTGCAAAGAATAATTATCTCAAAGACTTGACTGAGGAAAAAAAGTTACTAGAAGGCTAAATACAAGACTCAGACTCAAATTCATCCGTCTGATTGTCATGGTTTTCAATTCATTAGTGCTTTTGGCTGGCTGATAATGCCTCCAAGTAACTATTCTGAAGGAGCTTGTAAAAATCAGTGTAAAATCAGCAGAAAATTCAAGACAGGCCCTCTAACTACAATATCCCTGTGTTACAAGAAGAATTGCTAAAAAAAATACTTCAGAATAAATCCACGACATTTCAGAATGGTTTGTCCATCTCTTCATAATCTAACGGGAAAATTAAAATCTTTTCCTCTTAATGACAACATAATAAACATTTTGCTGCTAAACTCAGACATATTTCAGAAACTGCTGCGACAGGAAAAAATTAGTAACAAAATTATCCAAAACGATTTTGAAATACTTTAATATAAAACAAGGTGTTTTTCTTCTTGTTTCAAATCAGCTTTTCCTAGATTGCCTGTTCTCAGTCTACCTCATCGTAAACCATAATTTTTCAACATTTCAGAGAAAATTGAAATTGAATCTGATACTACTTTGCTTTGAGAGAGGAGACGGGAGATTTCCGGTCTACAAGAGTCCAAAGTAAACACGAGAAAATCAATCCAAAAAGCTCCAGCAAAATTTATCACTAGAGTGAAACACTCATATTTGGAAATCCTTTCAGAATGTTTCCTTGGGCCTGCTAGAGTAATTTGAAACGGTAGTAAGGATATCCAAAGCAATAGCAAAGTCTGGAAGCCAGAACTTCCTTAGTCCTTTCCTGTTATGTCTAGTAATCGATCTTGCTTCATCTGCAGTTGTGATGCATTGCACATCATATAATTTTAATACTGTAATAACGGAGAAGAAACCACATAAAAACTTTTTTTTTTTAAGATTCTCTCTGCCCTGTATAGAAGGAGAATTCCTACTCTGAAATACAACTGAGTCAGACTACCTCACAATGTAACTATTATATATAAAGTAAGACGTACTATGTGCTTAGCAGATAAAAGTAATAACATAATTGCACGTGCTGGAATTAAGCTTCTACTTCCAAATTACTGATGTATTAATCTTAATTATGTCTACAATATGACATCTGATGTGTATGATAAAAGAAATAGTCAAGTTCAGAACCGTAATTTGGGATGATAAATATTCACAGAATTCACATTTTAACTAGTCCAGTGCAAATTACACTAATCCAAGCACAAATTTTGACAGGGATAATTCTACAAAGTTCACTGTGCTCTACAATATTTTCTTCAGCACGAGCAGGTTTTCATCCTGAATATAAGTTTCTTAAATCAGAGAATTCAAGTCTTCATTTTTGGAATGTCACCCAAATTATAAAATATATAAAAATCAATGCATATACATTTATATATTTAGTCCATATATTTCTTAACAATTTAATTACTTTGCGTGGCAAAAATCTGCCACATATTGACAGTCATTCTTCCCAAGAATAGTATTTTGCTTGAGATGGATGGTTCAGCATCTACTTCCTTTACAGTATCTTGAGGTCCCCTGAAATATCCAGAAACCCGTAGGAAAGGAAGTGAGCCACAAAGACAGTAATCTATTTTTTCATTGCTGCTAGCATGCTTGTAAGAGCATAAGTATTGAAATACAAGACTCAAACATACATCTATAAATATACTTATGTTCAGAAGAAAACTGCAAAAATGAAAAAGGTCCCTTCACTTGACCCATAAATCTATCACAAGCAACTTTCCCCACCCCAAGCAAAATAGAATTTGTAGCTAATAATTTTTAAGTAGAGAAGATAGTTCCTGCTGAGACTGCTGTGTACCTGAACATAACCATATTTCAAAATTACTCTCTCCTTTTTCAGTCTGCCTATATGTAAGCTATCTTTCCAGTTCTGTTTGGTCTTTTAATTGTAGCTCTTGCAAGTATCACATCTATGATAACCACAACTAAGTTTTGTGCTGTTATTTTTAATCACCTGGAAAGCAATATTTTAGCTTTGAATAACATGGTTCCAATAGGAATTTGAATGAATAGATGTTAGCGACATCATCCGCAGAGCTACTTTTTCCAAACAGCATACATAGCATTAACTGCAAATCTTGAAAGCTGTTTGTGCTACACAACATAAAGCTACAATTTAGCTGCCTGATGAGCTCTTACTGAAACTTGAAAAAATAACTAAATATATGGTAAAAAATTACCATACACTTGTGTTTTCCATTTCTAATCTCAAAGTTAAAAACACTCAATACATTGCAAAATTCCTATGTTACATATGTGAAAGCATATCATAATTCACTGAGAAATGTCATTATTTCTATTTTCCCATGTGTAATTTTCTTATGTCTAAGCCTCACTCACTTTCAAATTTCTCCAATACTCATCTTTACAGAAGCATCAAACGTTGGACAGTACAACAGCTTGTAGAAATAGCAGGTAAATTAACAGTTCACTTCCAAAATCTGCTTTATTCAGTAACTGCTCTCACTCTTAAGAAAATTCAGACTTTGTTTTTTTATTCACTCACCTTCAGGATTGAGCTCTACCATTTAACCAGCAGCAGGAAAAAAGAAAAAAGAAATCTATTAACAGGTTAAAAAAAAATCTTAAAGTCATGTTTGCAAGTACACAAATACATCAAAACACAGTACTAGACAAAAAACAGTCATGAGACCACCTCATCAGTAATACAACTCCACCCAACTGGTGACTCACATTAACCTTCAGCTGTATGAATCCCACAGAGTTCCATCAAAGATAGATTTGGTCATGAACTCATAAAAAGCACGCTATTTTTCTGTCCTAGTATATTACTTAAGGATTTAATTGCCTCACACAAGCAATGTTAGCACTGATGCTTGTGAGTAACTGAAGAGAATTATCCCAACTTAATAATTTAAATCAATATCTAAAATTTTAGTAAGATATTAACGTTTATGTTTCTGTATTTAGAAGTCTTGCAAATTCTACCATTAAAGATAAGTTTTTAAAGTTACTTTTACAGTAAATTAATTCTGTTAGATGTCATGTCTTCCAGGGATTTTTTGTATGCTTGTTTTGCATTTAAAGAGTCAAATACACTCCAGATAAGAGATTTCTTTACTTCCCTAACCAAAAAGGCATACAAAATTCAATCTAATATCTAAAACCTAAACATAACTAATTTTGCCCAACAGAAATAATAATTCATTCATTTGCAAAGGAAGAATAACATCCGAGTTTCATACAGTGGTCTTGCAAAGCTAAAATCACAAAAGGAAAAATAGCCAAACAAAAAGCACACTTTTAAGATTAGAAGATCCAATATACTCAAAAGTATACTATCTATACAGTTGCACCACAAAAGTAGTTTGAAGCCATATCACTTTATATGGGACATTTGTGAAGGCAGAGCAACTCAATCACAAGGAATAAGCAGTCTAAGAGAGACAATATGGAGGGACTAAATTGCACAAGTTGTTTGTGCAGGCTTTCAAGAGAAAAGGAAGAACATCCTTTGACTTCCTACCATCCGCACATATCTGCAAGCCTAGCCTAAAGAGGATATGATCAAGTTTTACAAAATGCATGAGTTTCAGTTATGTTAAAATACAGATCAGCATGTTAATTATCAGCAACAAGCAGCCTAGACTATCAACATACATACAATGTTTCAGGGGAGAACTGACGTGAAATAAATGCTTAAGTGTATACATAGCATAATGTACTTAAAACCACCACCCACCACAAGGGCTGTAACTCCACATGCATTTCTTTGCTGTGAGCCTGTTCCCCATCACCTTTCCTTGTGTGTAAATAGAGGACTGTGCCAGCACAATGAACTGAATCATTAAAGCTAGCTGAGACATAACTAGCTGATTGCACGAGCATAACACAAGAGGAGGTGCAGGAGCAAAACCAGCAAGAAGTGAGGAAAGATGAGACTGCTTAAGCTGGTTTACGCTGGACTTAAACGAACATGGAAGCCCAGCCTGAGCACAGTTTCTCATGTAGCCTGACACATAGTCACAAGGGCTGCTGTAGAAAAATTAAATAAATTAGCTTTCAGTTACAGGTAGCAGGGTAAATTTACATGTTCTATCAGTAGGATCTTTTGGACACTATTAAATGGAAAGACCAAATTATATTATTTTGGATTGGTTTATTTGTTCAGAATGAATACGTTCAACTGTTAAAAGTGAAGTGGGGAATAATCACTCCCAATGCTTTTTCATATCCTCTTCCTCTGTGGGGAGGCAGTTATTGCCACATTTGTTGGCAGTCCCAGAAGACTGGATAGTCATGAAGAGGTAATAAACTTCTTGCCCCAGGAAGTGGCCCCTCAAAGAGGTGAACAGAAGCAAAATAATGGGTTTGGATGGGGAAGCTTGCACAGCTGCTTCTCGTGCTATAAGCATATGATTTTACCTCTATAGAACTGATCATGCAACTTAATGATGCTTCATAAAACATTAACTAAAACAACTGCTGGATTCTCAGATATATTATTTCTTTAATTACTATGGCCTTTAAAATATTTCAAAAAAAAGTTTAAGACATAGGTAAACAAAACCATCTAAAAGAAGGCTAATCCATTTGAAATCTCCAGTAGCTCACCTGTTGGTGTACTATATGAAACCACACCATTTCCTTCTAGCTCTGACGGAGGACAATTCCCCTTCAAAAAGACAGATAGGACGACGGTTTCAGATGCATCTGGTTCTAAAGATAATACAAAACTAGGTCAAGTAACAGGAACATCTAAACCAAAGCAACAGAGTTTCTAGTACTTCAGGAAATATTTTATTAAATTATGATAGTCATTTCCATCAGTTCAATCTTTATCAAACCATGGCATATATTTTTTCTGAAATACATTTTTGTAAAAAGCAAGTAAGTCTCTTCAACTCAAAGCCATCTTAAAGCACATCCAATGAATCAACACAACACAATGAACATAGAAAATCCCAAAACAAACGCAATCTTATATTGCGGTCTTAAAATCCTACAAAGCCATTGCCCTTTTTTCTTGTCATCTGTTGAAGAAACATAAGAACTGTCCTTTCAGATCAGAGCAGCAGTAAAGCATTCTTTCAACAGTGACCAGTACTTGATGCTTCAGGGCAGAAATTGTCTGCAGTCCCAACTGAGGCCGCAGGACACAATTCTCTGGTTTGCAGCTCTTTTTGCAGTCTTCAAGGAAACCCCACCTGTGGCCATATCAACAGAGTTGGATAAAGCCTAGCAGTTAATGCTAAGTTGGGAACATGTGCTGGACTGGGCATAGGCAATCATGTCTTCAATCCTTGCTTTTAGCTCAGCAGTGCTATTCTGCATACACAGAATTGCCAGAACACCCCTGCAAGTTATTCTCTCTGGAGAATAACTAATTTTCTTTCTCCCTAGAGAAGCTGCCACCCTGCCTCTCCTCACTTGCAGCAACCGCCAGGCATGACACCATAATCAAGTAAGCAGTTTCACTACTCCATTTTTCAGCCTTTCTACTTTTTTGTCTTCCTCCACCAATTGGCACCCAGGAGCTGTGAAGTGCAGACAGGAAAAACATGTAACTGCTTGCTCTGCAGTATATCTGCAAAAATACGCTTGATGGAGGCTGAACTATATGCTTCAAACTTTCCAGAAAAAGAAATGTTATACAATAGCTGCAATGGTACTATAATAATTTACCTAAATCATCAAAGACGAACTGGTCACAGGTCACTGCTAATGGAGGTTGTACACATACTGCCAGCTTTGGTTTCTGTGCAGTTACTCTGCTCTGTATTGTTATCTAAATCAAATTAAAATAGAATTATTTAAATGAAGGAACAAATTAATCCCTGCATAGCAGAAAACATAACCAGTAAAAGGCCTAGAAAAAGAAAAATCAGCAAAATAATTCAGCAACAACACTTAAGAACTTCAGAATTTGACTTCAAAAACAATACTTTCCTTTCTAATTTCCTTTCTCACATTTTCTTTGTAATTTTAAGCCAAGATAAATTTATGTTAAAATTTTAATCAATCTTTTTCAGATGTCATGTTTGTTCATTTTAACGTAAAATAAAAATATATTTTGCCTCTTTTAGATGGCTAAAGGAAAAAGGAATAAAAACAAAAGTTAATCTAAGAAATAAGTTCTCCCAACTACAAAGAGCAACACACAGTCTTTTGAGTAACTTCAGAGTCAAGTTCCATTTGATTTTTACTGGAAATAAATTCTAGAAGTCAATATATAGTACGCCCAGCGCACCTACAACTGTAGGTTAAATGATGGCCGAATAAGCTACAAAACACAAACGTTCCTTGTTGCTTCCACTGCCAGAAACAACTGGCCGCAGAAACAATGCGTATCGAAAGAATGTCCTTTACTGAGGCAAAAAAAAATGTTTGAGGAAGTCTGACTGCTTTAACTGAACTAACTTTAATATTTATTTTGGTCAAATAGCAATATGTTTGGGCTGTAAACAGGCCCTCAGATCATCCTTAATCACTAATGCTTGCAAGTAAGGGCGGAAAGGATCATATAGTATTTACCTGATGTCTCTTTGCATACCTCAGGTAAACCTTGCCCCCTTTCTCTGAAGGCGCAATCTCAATAAAAGCAACGAGGAAGATGAACTTGATATCCTCACTTATGCTCCCCCAAGTAAGCAAGTTAAAAACCTGCAGGCATGAGACTGTACACTTCAGAAAATTTGTACTCAAACGAGTGACATTTAAAGTCACTGGTAAATGCCATTTCAGTGCAGTTCCAAAATGAAGTGTTTTTTTCACAAATTGCTTTCGAAGGTAACCTGTACTTTGCCTCAAAAAAAAAAAACAGCAGATACATATTTTGAAAAATCCATTATTGTCCTCAATTGTGAATTATGTCAGACTTGAAACAGCCCAGTGAATGCAGCTGTGTAAATGCACTTCATTACCTTTAAGCCAACTAGCTGGACACTGCCAGACTGCTCATTGCAACCACTGAAAATCCAGTGCAAGCTAATTGTCTATTTAGTCTAAAGCTATCATACCCAAACTACTCCTTTCAAATCTAATTGAGGCAATATCTACACGTTGCCCAGTCAGAGCGCTGACTACATGTAACTACAGGTTACTTTATGAAGTCTGATTTACACTAGGCTTCTTTGATGCACGGAAGGGCCATAAACTACCTAGAACTACTGAAACGCTGCATGCTGTGACCATGTCTTTCCTGCCTAAAGCCTGGCCCTCCAAACCACGTTTTCTAAGGATGTCCTTATGTAACTGTCTTCTGTACTCAGCTGCAGTTAGAGAACTGTTTCAAGCCATGATTTGCTTTTTGCTACGTATAAGGGCCTGAAGTGCGAGGCTCTTGTCCAATAACTTTTGTCAAAAGCACCTGATTTTATTAAAACTTTACTGATAGGCCTGTGGCTTTTACAAAATTAAACAAAAATCCTTCTTAAGACTTTAATATAAAAATAAGTGTTACAAATGTCAGAAGCTTTTTACAGTATGATGCACTGCCTTTAGATTTTTTCAGGTAACACATCCGCCATTGCAACAGCCAATTTAGGCTGTAAAATTAGACTAGTAAAGTATTAATATAAACTGGTTACAGTTTAATTCAAAAAATAAGATTTAAAAACCCATAAAAATCAAGGTCAACTTTATTCTCAACTTGTTCAAATTCAGTGTTCAAGTTCAATTTAGTTGACAGGAGCCATAATATAACCATAATGTATTAGCATTTCTGATTTTAATAATAACCAATGTTCATAACTTCATAAATGAAGAAGTTAAATTCCACTAACTAAAAGATTCATCAGCTGCAATTGATTTTGAGACCCATGTGAAGATCAGTTAAAAGCACTCATCACAGAAAAAATATTCTGCAAAAATTGGAATGCAAGATAACTCCTAGATTTACTACTTTTGTTTTGTGAAAACGTATAAGATGCATGAACAGGAAAACAGAATGGGAAAGTACAAAATCTTCTCACGAAATATATATTCAATACATGAACAAATCCATACAGATTTTAAATAGCATTTGGCATTGGGCTTACATTGGAGATAATGATCCGAGGAGAAAGGATAATGGGCTGTGTTCCTAATACTAAAATCATAACCGCTCTCCAAAAGGGAATTTGGCAACTGTATACAATATTTCCATCAACAACAAGTCACCTACACAATGTAGTAGGTGCAATGTAAACTAACAAATGATAAATTCATACATCTCTGGTGGTAATTTCTGTTACGCATTGTAAGACACCTATATGTTCACAAACAGCCTGATTCTAAGCCCAGGGGAGTTCATCTGAACGTCTAGTGTTTTCACAGCAAAACTACCACGACTCTCTCAGGATTAGGATTTTAACCTGTACCATCCTTAGCATAAAAAGAAGTAGAGAAAGATGCAGGACTAAGTAAAATTAAACTACAGTGAGACAATCTGGTTCAATAATAGTCCAGCTGGTTTTAAACTTTCCACTCCAAAAAGAGGGAAAACTTGCAACGTTCTCAAAAACAAGGCCCTGATTTTGTTCTGCCGGTACTCCCAGAAGCCACTGTCAAACTCAGAAAAAAAATCGCAACCCTTTGTGTGCAATACCGAGGAGAAATCGCACTTGCACAGGAACACAGCACACACACAGGCGCACGCGTGCATACACACAAATGCACATTCACTCCTTCTTTAAAATCAAACTCAGATAGCAACACTCAGAGAGAACTAAAATGGTGTGAAATTTAAATTAGATTTTCTGACTTTTTTGGCAGCAATAACTAAAAATATGAACTTTTTTTTTAGAAAATATAGTCTATTTTTGCTTATTTATAACTAAAGAAGGAGCTGAAGATAACAGTCTTCAAGTTTTGCATGAACCAACATTTTTCCCTTTGAAAAATGTTATAAAAATTGTTCTTTTATCTTCAAAAATAACTTCATCCCATCGTAATAATCTTCACGTCTCTTTCTTAAAAGGCATAAACCTACCAAAAATAAAATCCCAATCACTTTAAATTCAGCAGAAAGCTTGCAAGTAGGGCACCTTGTCATGTTAAGAAAAAGAAAAAAAGAAAAGTTAAGTATCTATTGCATTTGAATTTCTACTCATGTTCATGATCTCAGTGAAACAGACAGAAAATAGATAGGTTTGCTAAAATTTGCCACCACTATTTGAGTGCTACAGTTTGAGCTAGGCACAGTACCTTTACTGTGACTGATGGAACTGCCTCTGATTTTACCTCACTGTCAATAGCTTGCTGTGAAGAAAAAGATGAAAACAGAGTAAATTCAATATTACACATGAATGAGTGAACACAGTGAATGCAATATTACTCTCCTACCATCAACTTGGTAAACAGGGAATTAACTGTAAAGGACTTATCACTTCGATGACAGATTAAAATACACAGAATACATTTCTGAGCCCCTTCTGAAAATGTAATGCCTCTGTTTGAAATTGCCTGCAAAAAGGATAGCAAAAGGTCACGAAAGTTGTGTGTATAAGAAGCTAATACACTTTGATGTATATATGAATATCTGAAACTGTTTTGCTTGGCATACTTCTTTCAACTGTATATTTATTCAAATTTTGGAAACTCCTGTTATTCAGCAAGGAAAGGTGACTTCCAATCTGCCAATATATTATATACACACACCATAGTATGTACTATATAATCACTGCACACTATCTTATAATCAGAATAACAAATCTTGAACTTCAAAAGAAAATTATGGCAGGCATCTTGCTGCTCCTGCTTATGTCTATGTCAATAGGCAATTCCATCTAAAGGAAAGTTCATCTAGGCCATGCAGGCTTTTTGAATATCTTGTTTTATGCTTACATATCATTTTGCAAGGGCAGTTTCTATAGCTTAAGAAAGAATTGTTGTTGTTTGTTTAAACTAGTGTATTTTAAAGAATTACTCAACTACTGCTAAAATACCAAAAAACAACTAGTATGAAATTATACCTTCTCATGATAAAAGAGTAAACTGAGAACTAAGAAATCTGATGCACTCCAACCCACCCTCCTCTTTCATCCCAACATGCCACTGTAAGGTCCATATCTGCAGAGTTCTTAAGTCAAGAAGTCAGTAGGATCCCTTCAGGTTCTAAAAGTAGGACTTTCATATAGCTAGAAAGATAAGTAGATTTATACACGTGGATGTGCATATATAAGTATTTTTTCCATTTAAAAATCGTAAGGACTTTCATACTGGATCAAAAGATTGGTCTGTCAAGCCCACTGCCTCTAATGGTGATCAGTGGTTGATTCTGAAGCATGAGGGCAAAGAGGGTGACCCCTGCCCAGGGACACCGTATTCATCTTTCAGAAATCAGCTGGGGCTTCCTGAATTACAGGTTGCATTCAGGAGGTGGTTATACATAACCAGAACTTTCCTTATCTAAACTCTTTTAACATGTTTATACTCTTTGCTTCTAACACACATGTTCACAAGTACACAGGTAATATTTGCAAGCCTGTAGTATTTGAGATCACTGTGGAAGCCTGAAAATTGTTCTGACATTTGCTGTGCTGACTCTTCCTCATGAAGTGTCGTATGAGATTTTCCTCTTCTAGATGGATACAGAAGGAACCCCTAGGAAATTCTAGCTCACAGGAAACTAACATCCACTGACAGCCTTGAATGCTACAGATACAAAGCTGTGGTTCATTTGATATACTGAGTTGCTTATAGCTAAAATGGATCATTTACATCTGCAAGGCTAAGCAAATGAGTACAACAATATCAGCGCATTCTAGGGATCTAACAGTTCTAAGTGTTGTGACCTGATTACTACAGCTAGCCAAGACCATGCCACTCTGCCCTTTTTTCCACCAATTAGTCTTTTCAATATACAAGTGCCAGGACATATTAAAAGACATCTGCTTATCAAATAATATTAGTAATGTTAATAGACTTTAAATAATATACCTACTAGAGTTCTAAAAGAAAGTACTAAAAAGTAGTTTCGTGTGTATTTTTAAAACACTAAGTAGCCCTGAAAATCAGTTTTACAGAAATCAGTGGCTCAAGAGAGACATGGCACTACTGGAGAGAGTCCAGCGGAGGGCTACAAAGACGATGAGGGGACTGGAGCACCTCTCCTATGAAGAAAGGCTGCGAGAGCTGGGCCTGTTCAGCCTGGAGAAGAGAAGACTGAGAGGCGATCTCATCAACGTGTACAAGTATCTGAAGGGGGAGTGTCGAGAGGATGAGGCCAGCCTCTTCTTCTCTTCTCCGTGGTGCCCAGCAACAGGACAAGAGGCAACGGGCACAAACTGAAACACAGCAAGTTCCATGAGAACATGAGGAAAAACTTATTGACTGTGAGGGTGACAGAGCACCGGATCAGGTTGCCCAGAGAGGTAGTGGAGTCTCCTTCGCTGGAGATATTCAAAACCCGTCTGCACGTGATCCTGGAAAACATGTTCTAGAGGATCCTGCTTGAGCAGGGAGGTTGGACTAGATGATCTCCAGAGGTCCCTTCCAACCTCAACCATTCTGTGATTCTGTGATAGTTGTCCTTGTAAAATGAGGTACATATTCTGAAAGGTTCATATGAAAAATTTTAGGAGAGGATATAAGCTCTCCTAAATTTTAATTTGAGTAAATTTTTATAAACTACATACGCATATTAGATGAGTAAACTCATTAGATTGCTGCATCAGAGAACAGCAAATGATTCCTCATTAGAGAAAGATCACTTCTGGTGATGCATCTTTAAAAGATTCACAGGAAGACACTTATTGCTGTTTCACCTCATGTTATTAACTGCTGTAACATTTCTTACTATTAGAAATTTATTTCAAATGCTAAGGAATGCAGAGTAACTGCACAGAAACTTGGCTAAAATCTAAAGGTCCCCAGACAGAGGATAATAGATAAATTCAATTATTCTCATTAAAATAATTAACAAAAGTACTTTGCAATTGACATACATCTAGGTGGTATGCAGCAGCTCAGTCCCACAAATATAAACAAATATATAATAATCACCATTTCAGATGTTTTAACTGTGTTTATGACATAATGCTTTAATGCCTTTAAACATTTTTTGTAAGGTGAACAATTGTATTTGGCCACATTTGCTATGCTTCATTCCTGTATGTGGGACTGCAT